GACTCTTTAATGTGTTGCTTGGTAGCCAACATTGCCTAAAACTTCTTGGGAGTTTTCAAAAGCAATACAACATGTTCAGTTTTTCTGTACAGCTCCCGAAGAACTCTTGGTTGTTTCAGCCTAATTGTATTCTTTTTTTTTTTTTTTTTTTTTTTTTGCCGTACGCGGCCTCTCACTGTTGTGGCCTCTCCCGTTGCGGAGCACAGGCTCCAGACACACAGGCTCAGCGGCCATGGCTCACGGGCCCAGCCGCTCTGCGGCATGTAAGTTCTTCCCGGACCGGGGCACGAACCCACGTCCCTTGCATTGGCAGGCGGACTCTCAACCACTGCGCCACCAGGGAAGCCCCTAATTGTACTCTTTAAGTGCCTCTTTACTCTGACCTTCAATCCCCTTTTACTAGCCTATCATTATGCCTCTGCTCTCCCAAGCTCAATGAAGTGCAGGAACTCTGATATTATACATTCATTCTTTCAGTCACTCAATAAACGTTTATAGAACATCTTAAACCTTAACTCTCACTTACAAATCTTAATGTCTTGGTCCCTTTGCTTCATCTTCTCTCTCTTTTTGTCCATTTTTTCTTTTCTGGTTGCTCTGATTTATGGGGTTTAAGGGTCCACTCTCCCTGGATTTATTCTTTATGGCATTATTTTACAAGCTTTGTTCCACGCCCTTCTTTCCACCAGTCCAGCCATGATCTTTTCTGCTTTGCAGTGGATCCTGTAATCTGTTGTTCCCCTTGAGCTTCCTTGAGGAATTCTTGAATGGCAGAAATTAAGATGAAATACAACTTTTGAAACACACAGTTAATATAAAAAGCAAGCTTCACCTGTACCTACTACTCTCATATAAGGTGATCTGTCTCTTAAAGAGGAAAAGAATGATGTCCGTTGCAAAATATTGGACACTTTGAGCGGAAAATACAAGCTGCATTGCAAAAAGCCTTAAAGGTCACCCAGGTAGCTGGGACCATTATCTTACATTTTAGTCAAATTTGCTGGGTCTGGATGATCTTAGTGGCAGAAGTCTTGCCCTGAATTAAACCAACGATTAGTTGAGCATTTATTATGTGCAAGGCATTATGGGACATACAAAGAGGTGCAGAATGTACTTGCTTCCTTTGAGGAGCTTAAAACTCATGGTAGAGATCTGTACATATAAAAGTAAATTTATAATACAAAGTTAATGAGTCATTCAGATATTAAGTGCAGTAGGAAAGCAGAAAAAAAGAATCAGTATTGGTGGCCAGGATCATCAGAGAAATATAGGGGCAAAGGGCATTGCCCCATATTTAATTAAAATCTCTCTAAAGACAGGTACACTTATTAGCCCTGCAGACAGGCTAACTCATAGACAGAAAACAGTTGGATCATTCTATTCTTACCTTTTCATTGCTTGAGACAGATTTATTTTGCATTATCGTTGGACGTTTTCCTCTTTTTGTTTCTTTTAAACAGAGTGCACATTTGCCTAATTTAATTGCTTATTTGTTTCCTTGGAAGATTACGTCAATGAAATTTCTTCTTCTAGGAACTGAGTCCTTATTTTCGATTATGTATTCTTGTTTTATTGTTAATAATGAATTTGATTCATTGTATGCTAATTAAACCTACTGTAGAAAGGAGTTTTTGAATGTCAGGGCATTGTAAAGACAAGGCCGCATGTCTTAGAAACAGATGGGCTTGAGTTTGAAACCATCCTCTACTACTGACCTTGCTAGGTGAACTTTATTCAATTTATTTAGTCTCTTAGCCTCTGCTTCTTTACCTGAAAAATGAGGTCATGTTTCATTTAATATTTATTTTATGGGGTTTATTTTGTAGCACTACATGAGGTAACATACATGATGTTTCGGTTGGGTGCATAGAAGGTGTCCTATATATACTAGCAACTATCATTATCTTTTTCTAATTATCCCGATTTATTTCACATATGTGAATACCCAAAAGGAGTCTGTAATTTTAGGAACCATGTTAAGGTCTCTGGATTAAACTAAAGGATTTTTAAACTTAATGCTTTCAAAAATTGTACTGGCTAGAGCACATTGCCGTTTTTTCATGTTGTTTAGATCTTCATGGTACTTTGTGGGTGGTCTGCCCATTGAGTTTCTTGTCTATTTTTTTTTAAAGAAGAGTATCTATAATTCTTAAAATGGGTATTTTGCCAATTTTCACATGCCTTGTTTTCTCTTCTCAAATCAACATGTCTCCGTATTTATACAATTCAGAGTTCAAACGACATTCTTTGCACTGCTGTCACTGTACATAAAGACAATCCAAACTTGTTATGCCTAAATATAAAACACAATCCAAGTAAGTGAACAGATGTGTGGCATGAGCAAAGCCTTACCATGTTGTTCCTATTTATCGTCTGCCTTGTTTGGAGGGCGTGCCTAGTGCTGGGAGGTGGTGGATAAAGGGTCTTGCCAATTGCACTTATTTAGAGAGACATTTTATGTACATTTTGTTCCTCTGTTCCGTTGCACTGCCCTTGGGTGACACAATGGTTTTTAGGAAGTTGGGTTAAACTTGTCCAGCCTTGGAAATGATTTTTTAAATGTTTTGTAGTTACAAAAATTATGTTTATTTCAGAAAATAAGACATGTTTTCCTAATTTTGGAGCCAAGATAATGAGTTTTCCAAATGCAAGATGTCCAGCAAAATTCCATCCAGTTTTCAAAATTTACACTTAAAAATATTGCATTGTACTTATTCTCTACTCCGTTTTGCACCTTTCCCATGATAATAAGAATGAGAAAATACAAGCACTTGTCTATGGAAAGTAGACCCCACCTCCTCTGTCAGACACAAGTCTCCATGAAGATGAAATCCAAAAAACAAGAGCTGTGTTTGTAGGACGGCTCCTTTGTCCCTCTCCTCTTCCAGTATTATTCCTGGGATCAGGGGAAGGTAGATCAAGCTGCCCAACAGCACTCAGCCCAAAGGGTTCAGGCTGTGTTCCAGGTACGCGGGCCTCTCACTGCTGTGGCCTCTCCCTTTGCAGAGCACAGGCTCCGGATGCGCAGGCTCAGCGGCCATGGCTCACGGGCCCAGCCGCTCCGCGGCATGTGGGATCTTCCCGGACTGGGCCACGAACCCGTGTCCCCTGCATAGGCAGGTGGACTCTCAACCACTGCGCCACCAGGGAAGCCCCCCAGACCCATTTCTTAGGGGTTGCTTACTAGTCTTTCTGGCATGTGTTCTAGGTCTTGAAGGAAAACATCAATTGAGATTTATACCTGGTTCAGGTATGTCTTTATTAATATATAATACTACTAATAAAAAGATTACCTGGAAATAATTGACACTTCAGGAAGGAATGAACTACAAATTCCGCGTCCCTCCAGACTGATTCTGTCAGTAAAAAACCATCCCTTCCCTTTTATCAGGTACAGTATTGCTAGGAATTACTGTCCTGAGTCCCTTTCTTTTTCCATCTTTCTGATTTTCCGCTGGCCTATGGTATGTTTCTAAGCTCATGACCGAAGACAGTTTATATTTACTAAATATTCGTCCATATGCAAATGGCACCAGCCCTATGACAGGCGTGCAGGGAAGTGTCTAGAGCACACACATGGGATGAACTTTCTGGCTTCAACTTCTGATTTTTACTGCCTGTGGTGATAACCAGGAAGTCAGCTTCTCCTAGCGTGTTTCCTTCCCTGTTCTGACGGTGATGCCATTTAGTGCCTTCCTCACAGGGCTGGATTTTAGGACAATAGCAAAATTACCAGATGCCTCCTTTCATGTGCTGGGTCTTGCTTAAATTAAAATGAAACAAACAAACAAACAAAAACTATTATTCAACGGAAGTTCTAGGAGATGATGAGACAGGTAAAAAACAAAGGGTTTTGGGTGTTTCTTTCAGGGTTCCTATTAAATATAGTATTACTCACTCTGACATCAGTCCCTGGCAAATGTGTGATTCTTTCTGTCTTGGGCAGGAAAAGACCCTTGAGTAGGCTCCACCCTGTATTATGGACCCTTGATGACATCCAACCATAACTCTTCATTTGAGGAAGGATCAGAGGTGGCATCCAAACATAACTTTTTTTCCTGATGAAGAAAACTTCAGGAAAGGGGTTTATTGTTCCTTTCAACTTAATTCCTTAATTGAACATTAAAAAGCAAGCAAGCATAATTTCATAATTTCTAGACAAGGAGGCTTCAATCAAGAGATACTGCAGGTATTAACGTTTTCCCCAACTTTGGTGTCATTTATCTTTTTTTTTTAACATCTTTATTGGAGTATAATTGCTTTACAATGGTGTGTTAGTTTCTGCTTTATAACAAAGTGAATCAGCTATACATATACATATATCCCCAAATCTCCTCCCTCTTGTGTCTCCCTCCCACCCTCTCTATCCCACCCCTATGGGGCATGCGTATCTTGCATCGCTTTGCTTAATAGTTCTCATTTACTAGCCCCATGTGTTGTGTGTCCTGCATGAGGATATCAGAGAGTTTACATAAGATGTTGCTTTTATTGTTAAATGAGATTGCACATTCCCAGCATTTAGCCTGGTGTCTCGTCCCTAGCAGACTCGATAAATGTAAATAAAAATCCCTACCTTGACTCTTCCTACCACATCAGGGCTGCTGTTTAAATGCCAATAGCCGTGGCTTCTCAAGATTTCTATTGCTGGTCCTCCAAGTTCGGTCTGTAAGGAATGCAGGTTATGCAACTATTATTTTTATTACTGTACTGCTTTTTAAATTTACTATTCTACAAATTGCTGACTAGGCTACAAGAGCCACGATGTAAACGTTTTGTGTATAACACATGTTCCAAACCACCTTGTCTGGGCTGTTGTGGACAAAGAAGTTTAAAAACCAATTAGGTTTTGGACAAGAACAAAAATTAGTTTCAGAATAACGTGTAATGCTCTCCCCTGTTTCTAAGATTCTGTTGCCCATTAATTCCTTCTCTTGTTTCCCTCCTCACATGATTCCTGTTTAATCATTTCATGTTTACTTCAATGTGAGCTTATATTAATTATGTAGCTCACCAGTCTGGTCACTAGGAAGGATGAACAGACATTTGATTTGGTAAAGGAACCCCGAGACAGCCTCATTTCTGGGCCTCCTTCCACCTCTGAGCGAATGCCAGGTTGTAATGAAAGTTTCTTTGGATACCACGCTTTCCTCTTAAAGTAATTAAAGCCTGCAGGTCTTAGCTACAAAGCTGGTTGATGCAACATGATTTAGCAGAGCATTTTGAGTTTACACAACGCTACGCTTGAAACGAAAGAATGGGATTGGCTCTTAGCTTCTTATTTGGATTTCTTTTGTGCCTGGCCCTGAAAGTGTGGTCACCCTCAATGTGGATTAGGACCACACTTAGGACCACCATACAAATCTCAGAGAGGCTTGTACTCCCACCTTTGTACTTGCTGAGACCTAATCAATGTGTCTCTGGCTGGTCACGGTACAGCCCATTTCATTGGGAACCTGCAGGCACCATTTGGGAGCCTGGCCAGGCGGCAACCTCAAGATTGGCTTGTTCTTTGATTGGGTTACTAGTCTGTGTGAAGACAGGTTTACTTAGAGAAAGAAAAAAAAAAAAAAAGACCTGGTTGTAGCTCCACCCCTACAACTAGAAAGCCCTTAATCAGACCAATGGCAAACTTGTAAAAAGCAATATTTGGAAAAACAAGTGATGAGTTAAATGAACAGCATGCATTTATGAAAATTTTCAAATCAGATACCTAATCTCAGATTGAGTAAGGCAAAAGGGATTCTGAGTGTTCCTGAATCATGTCCCTCTAATATTATCAATGGGAAGTATTGTGAAAGGGAATTCAGAAGTCAGCCAACAATTTTGGAAGAGGAAGATAGTTGATAATCTGGGAAATCTGTTCATGAGTCATTAGATTCCAGAACTTGAGACTGGCTCAAGGAAGAGATTCCATATAAGAGACCACCCAGATGTTATTCAGAACAATGATTCTCAGCCCCAACTGTATCTTAGGATCACCTGGGGAGCTTTCATGTGAATATTTTCATAACTGGACCTTCTCCTAGAGATTCAGGGGAGGGGCATAGGCATATTATAAAGATCCTTTAGGTGATTCCAAAGTGAAATCAGATAGAATCAGTGATTGAGAGTAGTTGGTCAGACGTACGAAAAGGGGAGGAAGAAAGATCCTTAAACATACAGCCTAGGTCAGCATCACTTGGATATGAAAATACAGATGGCTGCTCCTATCCCCAGAATTTCTGATTTATTAGGTCTTGGGTGTAAGTTCTGAGAATTTGAATTTCACACTAATTTCTGGGTCATCGTGATGCTGCTGGTCCAGGGCCATATTTTAAGTACCACTAGACTAGGTAAATAGTGGAGGAGAAAGGAGGCAAAACAGGCATGGTGGGCTCATGAGGGAGGCCCTAGGCTGAAGTGACACTGTGCCAGCTCAGGGAATAGCAGCTGTGGTCAAGTGCTATGATCTAGAAGCTTGCTACACAAACTAGGCCCCTCAGACCAGCAGCATAGCACCACCTGGATGCTTGTTAGAAAAGTAGAATCTCAGGCCATGCTCCAGAACTAGAATTGTTATTTTAACAAGATACTCACATAATTTGCATGTATTCTAAAGTTGGAGAATCTTACTAGTGGTACAATTACCATGATATCAGTGGTATGAAGCATTGGCTTCATATTGTAATTTTGGGGGGGGGTCTCATATCAGACCAATGAAATCTGAACCTCTAGGAGTAGAACCCAGTGTTAGTATTCTTAAAGCTCCCTGGATGAAACTTTGATAACCACTAATCTAGAATTTAATTTGAAACAGTATAGTCATTTGTTACTGTACTTCTTGTTTTTTCTTGACCTGCCATGAGTCAGAAAATAGAAAGATAAGGAAGCTACACACAGTGGATGGATGGACGTTAGTATATCCAGCTGAGAGGTGAAAGGAACAGCAGAAGCGGGGAAGATGGTGCAGGGAATGACTAGGCCATTTCACTCTCACTTGCTTCATTAGGAGATGCTCACTGAATCTAGGCTGAACATGCAAAACCAATCTGCTGGCATTCCTCTGGGTTTCTGTACATCTCCTCCATGATGCTGTCTTCTCCCCAACTCCCCTGACTTGAATTGACCCCTTACTTGTACCTTTATGTTCCAGAACTTTCCAACACATAAATCTATCAGAGCACCTGCTAACATGTTAAACTTTATCTACTTGTTTATGTGTTTTGGGTCGTCGTGTCTCCATTGTCATTTGTTTCTACGTATTCTTTTATTTCCTCTTTGATTTCTTCAGTGATCACTTCGTTATTAAGTAGTGTATTGTTTAGCCTCCATGTGTTTGTATTTTTTACAGATCTTTTCCTGTAATTGATATCTAGTCTCATAGCGTTGTGGTCGGAAAAGACACTTGATACAATTTCAAGTTTCTTAAATTTACCAAGCCTTGATTTGGACCCAAGATATGATCTATCCTGGAGAATGTTCCATGAGCACTTGAGAAAAATGTGTATTCTGTTGTTTTTGGATGGAATGTCCTAAAAATATCAATTAAGTCCATCTTGTTTAATGTATCATTTAAAGCCTGTGTTTCCTTATTTATTTTCATTTTGGATGATCTGTCCATTGGTGAAAGTGGGGTGTTAAAGTCCTCTACTATGAATGTGTTACTGTCGATTTCCCCTTTTATGGCTGTTAGTATTTGCCTTATGTATTGAGGTGCTCCTATGTTGGGTGCATAAATATTTACAACTGTTATATCTTCTTCTTGGATTGACTCCTTGACCATTATGTAGTGTCCTTCTTTGTCTCTTCTAAAAGTCTTTATTTTAAAGTCTATTTTGTCTGATATGAGAATTGCTACTCCAGACTTCTTTTGGTTTCCATTTGCATGAAATATCTTTTTCCATCCCCTTACTTTCAGTCTGTATGTGTCTCTAGGTCTGAAGTGGGTCTCTTGTAGACAGCAAATATATGGGTCTTGTTTTTGTATCCATTCAGCCAATCTGTGTCTTTTGGTGGGAGCATTTAGTCCATTTACATTTAAGGTAATTATTGATATGTATGTTCCTATTCCCATTTTCTTAATTGTTTTGAGTTTGTTATTGTAGGTCTTTTCCTTCTCTTGTGTTTCTTGCCTAGAGAAGTTCCTTTAGCATTTGTTGTAACGCTGGTTTGGTGGTGCTGAAATTTCTCAGCTTTTGCTTGTTTGTAAAGGTTTTAATTTCTCCATCAAATCTGAATGAGATCCTTGCTGGGTAGAGTAATCTTGGTTGCAGGTTTTTCTCCTTCATCACTTTAAATATGTCTTGCCAGTCCCTTCTGGCTTGCAGAGCTTCTGCTGAAAGATCAGCTGTTAACCTTATGGGGATTCCCTTGTGTGTTATTTGTTGTTTTTCCCTTGCTGCTTTTAATATGTTTTCTTTGTATTTAATATTTGACAGTTTGATTAATATGTGTCTTGGCGTATTTCTCCTTGGATTTATCCTGTATGGGACTCTCTGTGCTTCCTGGACTTGATTAACTATTTCCTTTTCCATATTAGGGAAGTTTTCAACTATAATCTCTTCAAATATTTTCTCAGTCCCTTTCTTTTTCTCTTCTTCTTCTGGAACCCCTATAATTCGAATGTTGGTGCATTTAATGTTGTCCCAGAGGTCTCTGAGACTGTCCTCAGTTCTTTTCATTCTTTTCTCTTTATTCTGCTCTGCAGTAGTTATTTCCACTATTTTATCTTCCAGGTCACTTATCCGTTCTTCTGCCTCAGTTATTCTGCTATTGATCCCATCTAGAGTATTTTTAATTTCATTTTTGTGTTGTTCATCGTTGTTTGTTTCATCTTTAGTTCTTCTAGGTCCTTGTTAAATGTTTCTTGCATTTTGTCTATTCTATTTCCAAGATTTTGGATCATCTTTACTATCATTATTCTGAATTCTTTTTCACGTAGACTGCCTATTTCCTCTTCATTTATTAGGTCTCGTGGGCTTTTATCTTGCTCCTTCATCTACTGTGTGTTTTTCTGTCTTCTCATTTTGCTTATCTTACTGTGTTAGGGGTCTCCTTTTTGCAGGCTGCAGGTTCGTAGTTCCCATTGTTTTTGGTGTCTGTCCCCAGTGGCTAGGGTTGGTTCAGTGGGTTGTGTAGGCTTCCTGGTGGAGGGGACTAGTGCCTGTGCTCTGGTGGATGAGGCTGGATCTTGTCTTTCTGGTGGGCAGGTCCACGTCTGGTGGTGTGTTTTGGGGTGTCTGTGGACTTATTATGATTTTAGGCAGCCTCTCTGCTAATGGGTGGGGTTGTGTTCCTGTCTTGCTAGTTGTTTGGCATAGGATGTCCAGCACTGTAGCTTGCTGGTCGTTGAGTGAAGCTGGGTGCTGGTGTTGAGATGGAGATCTCTGGGAGATTTTCGCCATTTGATATTATGTGGAGCTGGAAGGTCTCTTGTGGACCAGTGTCGTGAAGTTGGCTCTCCCACCTCAGAGGCACAGCACTGACTCCTGGCTGCAGCAACAAGAGCCTTTCGTCCACACGGTTAAAAAGAGGAAAAGGGGAAAAAATCATAAATCTTGCTCTCAAAGTCCACCTCCTTAAGTTGGGATGATTGGTTGTCTATTCATGTATTCCACAGATGCAGGTACATCAAGTTGATTGTGGCGCTTTAATCCGCTGCTTCTGAGCCTAATGGGAGAGATTTCCCTTTCTCTTCTTTGTTCGCACAGCTCCCAGGGCTCAGCTTTGGATTTGGCCCCGCCTCTGTGTGTAGGTCGCTGGAGGGCGTTTGTTTTTTGCTCAGACAGGACTGGGATAAAGGAGCCGCTGATTCGGGGGCTTTGGCGCACTCAGGAGGGGGGGGAGGGGCACTGCGTGTGGGGCGGGCCTGCGGCGGCAGAGGCCGGCGTGACGTTGCAGAAGCCGGCGTGACGTTGCAGAGGCCGGCGTGACGTTGCACCAGCCTGAGGCGCGCCGTGCGTTCTCCCGGGGAAGTTGTCCCTGGATCCCGGGACCCTGGCAGTGGCGGGCTGCACAGGCTCCCGGGAGGGAGGTGTGGAGAGTGACCTGTGCTCGCACACAGGCTTCTTGGTGGCGGCAGCAGCAGCCTTAGCGTCTCATGCCCGTCTCTGGGCTCCGCGCTGTTAGCCGCGGCTCGCGCCCGTCTCTGGAGCTCCTTTAAGCGGCGCTCTGAAT